TAAAGGCCGTTGCTATGTTAGTGAAGCAGCCAGTTAAGCTGGAAGTAGTGCTGTTGCTGTGTGTGGAGAATAATAGTGTAAAATGCAGTTTGCCATCAAACTAATTTTGGTTTAAGTCTGCTTTTTTCTAAGTAAGGGCATAGTATGTTATTGGTAGTGTCAGCACTTAGATTTCAAAGTGCCTGGAAGTGCCAGACTTGTGTTGTTTATTTCTGTCATCAGTGCCTGTAGGAGGGGAGAAAGCAGCCAACATGTGAATTAAGAGTTGAGCAGAGAAATGATTATAGAAACTCTTGGATAAGAACTGTCACCAGGGAGGTTGAAAATAATTTGCTCAGCTGCTTCACTGCAAAAATCCTGGGCTGCAGTTCAGAAAGCCTTCAAAGTGCACTCTGAAAGCACTAGTCTGGCAAAGGCACTAAGTTTTCTTTTACATTTCATTATCAGGGTGATCATGCCACTAGCCTTTTGCTCTGACACAAAATCAATGGTCGTCCTTGTGGAATGACACTGATGTAAACCAGTCCTGACAATGAAATTGAGGTGGAATAGTACATTCAGTATTGGTTTCTGGTTTTGTTTTAGGGTTAATTTAGTAGTTGAAAGCCCTAGAGTCTTTTCTCTTAATGAAGCACAGGTGACAGTGGTGTGCCATGACCTGTGTGTCAGCTGCCGTCTGGAGGGAGGGAGAACTGCTGAAGTTTTCGTGAGCAAATTCTGATTTGCCTTTGATGTCTGAATCTGTCTCTGGGGTGGTGGTTGCTGCTTTGTGCTAACTGTCCACTGCTGCAGGATAAATCCAATTATCTCCTTCGGCAGGCTTACCCCATGGCCCCTTTATTGCTTGAGGAGATGTCAGGGATGGGCTGAGAACAGGAGGTTCTGGGTAGGGTAGGACCTCTCCCTTATGGGAGCAACCAAGGTTGCATCAGCTGAATGTAGCTGTGAAAGTGCAGAGTGGCAGTGACACAAAGAGGAGCTATGCTCTCTGAATGCCTGGGTGTTGCTTTTTGCTTTCCTTTATGGTCTGTTATTAAGGATGACAAAAAAAGTTTCCATTCTGATTTAATTTGAAGTAGGTTATACCTATAGAATGACTTAGTACCCCCAGAAATATCTCTGGACTTTAAAGATCAGCAAGCAACAACTTTTGATTGTGCATGTAAAGAAGGAACATTTTTATTGATGCCAAACTCCTATGCCATACCATATTTTTTTTAATATGCATTTAAAAAAGTATTCTACATGAAAACTGCAGAATGTGCATACATTTCAACATTTTAATCTTTTATTGAGGTAAGAAGAGGGTAAAGACTGGGGTTTTAGTAGAAAGAGTTTGGATGTTGGGGAAATGGAGGAGTATCAATCACTTACAGAGTATGCAACAAGTTGTGAGGGGACAAAATATGCCATTCTTTAAAAAGCCATCCTTTTCTCTAACTAATTCAAATGGAAAAGAAACCCACTCCAACTATCCACCTTTTTAAAAGGTGATAAAATGGTAAGAGTCTGTGCTGGTGAATTTGTTATACTGATTTACTCGCTGTTTTCTCCAGTTTTATGCCACTGCTATTTCCCATGAAGTTTGAAGGTTGAGAATGCCATTAGATAATGTTACTGTGCTGCACTTATTTGAACTGTAAATGCTCTTCTGAATATTGGGCTTCAGTTGGGCTGACTTTAAGTGGATGGCACAGAAGGCAGTGTTGGTGAATAGAAATAGTAAAGCCATGAGGTCCTGCAGAGTTGGACTTTTAACCTGTTTTTTAATATTTCTGTCCAAGATATAAAAACTTTTGAAACCATTACTGATAAAAATGTAGAGGTAACAAACAGCTGGAGAAATAGGTAAAATAGACAGTTACTGATAAAGAGGAGATACACTCTTTAACTGAGCTGCGTTCTGGCACGCAATATATTTTTCAACATATCCAAATATAATTTTGTATCTTGAAGTAATAAATGCACACTGTATTTCCATCTTTATTCCAGGAAGTAGTTATCCTTAAAGGACAAACCCCTCTGTCCCAGGAACAGGGGATTGCAGTCATCAGTGGAAGCTGAACTCAGTGTTGTTATGCTTTGGCCAAAAGGCTTCACGCATCCAAGAGCTCCAATATTGAGGTTATATTATCTCCATATTTGGTGGTGGTGTGAAAAAGTCTGGAATGCTTTTTCCAGATGGGTGTACTTCAAGAAGGACATTGAAAACTGGAGTTGATTCAGGATATGGTCATAAGAGTGATGAAGGAATTGGAAGTGTGCTGTTTGGTGAAAGATTTAGAGCTCAGTGTGCTTTGTTTAGCAAAAGTGTGGTCAAGATACCATTTGATCACAATCTTAATGTATTCATGTAGGAAGCAGATACGTGCTAATAGATAGTTTCTCCATCTAGCAAACAGAAGAAAAAGAACCAACAGCTTGAAATTGAAGTCAGCCAAATTAGTTTGGAAATAAGGTGCAAAATTTAGCAGCGAAGGCAGTTAAACACTGAAACAACTTACCAATAGCTGTAATGCATTTGCAAATGTTGGAAATACCATAGCTAAGATTGCACATGTTTCTGAAAGACTCACTGTCACCTAGGAACAAGTGTTAATGTGAAGTAGAAATTGATGCAGGGGAGCCTGTAATACTCAGGAATTGCAATACTTGCATCCTTCCTTAAAAGTTCAGGACTGTATTTGCAGTGCAGTGTAGTGGTTAATTTCTGCTTTTGATTCTGATTTAACCAGTAGGAGAATTTTTATGGTATTTCTAAGTGGCATGATGTGATGCAGGTATCCACGCTGACCCTAAACAAGCTAGGATAGGTACTAAAACCACCAAAGCTATGCTAGTTTTCCAACAGGAGTGACAAATAGTGCTTTTTAACAGGGCTGAGATGCTTGTGTACACTACTTGATCACAGCTGCTTGCTCATTCTTAACAAGCTGCTACAGCTAAGGAATCCTTGAAGCCTTGGGAAGTTATGTGTAAAACTAAGGATTTCTCATATAGGAAAAGCAGGTTTCCAAACTGGGATTTTTCTTCTTTTTATTTTTTCCTTTATTGTTTACATGTGTTCAATTTGAGAACAGGTAAATTAGTACAAGAAAAGTTACCAGGTACTTAGAGCAAGAAGCTGTACTGAACTCAGGAAACCTGCAATGTGAAAATAGTTGGAGGTTGAGAAGTTGTGAAGGAGCACATTAAAGGTCCTATTTTTACTCTTTCCTAAACATCAGATTATCTCCATTGTGTAGACAGGATACTGAACTGCTAGATTACTGGTCTGATCCCATGTGGATTTTCTTATGTGAGTCCTAACAAAGTCTGTTTCGTACTACTAAATTCTAAGAAACCGAATCTGTAACTTTGATGATAGCTTGTAATTTTTCAAAGTGTGAACATCTCACAGTAAATACATGCAAAATAATATTTGTTTAAACTAAGAGGATTAAAAAAAATCTTTGAAATTGATTAATTGTATTGTTTTTCCCATGGCAACTTAAAACTGATTGTATCAGTTTTATCATATCAAATTAAAACTGGAGTGTACATTTTGTTCATTTAACTGTCATTTTCATTTATCGGACAGACTTATAGGGCAGTTAATGTCTCTGCTCTTTAGATAGGAGTTTCCAGTGCTGGCAAAAGAAATTCAAGAAATGGGCCTACATAACAGCGGGTTACTTTCCAACTGTTGAAATGCCTTTTCCTGCCTTGTTTAGCTCCGAATGTTGTCAAAACCACTTCATAGTACAGTATATGGATCATCTTGTTTATAGGCCTGTGACTTGCCAATACATCTGTGGATGAGCTATGTAGAGCCATTGATTGAGTCATAGCTAGAAAAGCAAAAGAAATAGAAAAGTACTTGAATCAGAAGGAGAACTGTACAATTAAAGCATTAGCTTTATGAATTCTATTATGCATGCAGCTGCCTGACTGGAAATGTGCTGGCACAGACATTAAATTGAAGATCACAGCATTAAAAAAGTGTGATCTGATAGCCTAGCATGGTCGTGGGCTTTTGCACTTGATGACTAACGGTGCACCAGCAGTACACTATGTACTTATCTTAAAAATCAGACTGTAACTGTTCTTGAAAGATTAACATACACATTATTCAGATTTTTTTTCTGATGTATATGTCTCCAGAAGTTCATGAAACTTTTTTATGCACCTTCTCACTATATGTGTATCATGAAATGTGAGAAGTTGCTGCTGTATTTCTAACCAAAGGTATCTCATGTTGTTCAATTCTAGGCAATTTAGCATGTAGTTGCAGTAGACTGTAAGATACTTGGGTGTGGTGAAGCTTTATACTCCCATCAGATTAAAAATACTTTTCTTCCGTTGTTATGTTTCATAATGAATACATTTTTTAATTAAAGATACTTAAATCACCTTATGTGTATTACTGTGCTATGTGATTATTTATAAAGTAGATCACGTAAAAACCACACAAACTTTGAGATCTGAAATTAGAAAATGTTGCTTCTAACTGCCATGTAAAACTTAAATAAGCATCACGAATCTATATAATTGTTTTCTTCCTGAAATTTTTATTTAACAATTTTGCTTTCTGAATAGTTATGATTCATGACTTTACCTGGGATCTGGTTGTGCAGAGATATGTGTCAGTGAAAGATTTCTTTACATGTGTTTCAGGATCCAAGTTTTTATCAATGACTTGCTAAAATCCTTGTTCTCCTTCAGAAATGTTAGTTTGCATTGATAGGGTGAATTCATAGTCAATGGAATAAATTTTTGTTCTTGATATTTGCTTAAAATGGAAGATGGAAACACTTTTGCAGGAAATATAAAAACATCATTAATTACTCAATTTTAGACTTTTGACTTGTCTTTCAGTGAAAAATGCAAGAGGGAAGAAATAGCTGCATTCTAACAGTGCTAATAATGACACATTTTTCATGTATTCCATATGCAGTACAAGTAATAAATCACAAGAGCTATAATTCGATTACATTTTTGGGGTTTGTTTTTCCTTTCAGTCAGTGGTGAAGACCGGGCGGTTGCTGATAAGCCACGAGGCTCCCTTGACAGGAGGATTTGCTTCTGAAATCAGTTCCACAGTTCAGGTACACAGATTATTTGTATGAAAGTGTTCTGAGTGGCTGAATATATTTACTTATAAAAGGAATATTTATTGCTACATTAAAAATTGAGTTTTTTTTTTTTTAAGTTATGCTTTTACATTTTTATTAGATTTCAGTTTTGTGGATGTTTGCAATACTTTACCTCAACACCTGAGAAACCACGTACCTACCAGGCACTGTTCATAGCTTCTGCTACAGTAGAAATTTTAAGTTTTAGTGAAAAGCAGGGAGGAGGCACTGTCAGATGCAAAGGGAAAATCTTTATGTATGGTCTGATTTTAACGTACTTTTTTTTACTTTTCTCATATTTTTATCTCTAAAGCTTCTTTAAAATACATTCTAGGAAGAGCTGAAATCTGACACAGAAAAAGCACCCAAACCCAGTGCAGTGTAATGTGGTGTTATGCATAGTGTTCAGAGATTTAGGAAGTGGTTCATGCATAGTTATGTAGATGCTCACACTTGTGGAGAGCTTGTATGCACAAGACAGCTCTGAAAGGTTGAGGTACACATCACTAACAGTTGTTTGGAGCTTTAGGCTTAAACTCTGGAAGTCCTTTTGAGCTTTCTGACATGTTATATACCGGTACTTGCATACAGATTTTCACCCTAACTTGATTTCTTTCCTATGCACATCAATGATACTGGTTTATAGAAATATCTAAACTAATTGTGTCCATCACCATCTGATTAGCATTTTCTGATTATTCTGTTCTTAATTTAATTATATGTCTAGAGAGAAATGGGATTCTAAATTTCACAAATTATAAACTATGGTTTATATTTTGTGAAAGTAGTAGTAGTTAAAGTCTGGGAATTAGACTTTTTGTAGGAAGGAACAGACTTAATTGTTCTGTGAATGTAATTTTGAATTGCATATGCATAAGGAGTCAGAAATCTGTTTCTTGATCTGTAGTACAATTTCTTTTAAAGAGTAATTGTGTTAATTTTAGTATCATTAAATGAAGGTCAGTATTTTTTTTTTTTCTACCAAAATTTTGTCTCTGTCAAGAGCCAAATATTTATCATCCTGTTAAGTAATTAATATTTGACCTCCCTTCTCTTATAGGTAGCCTCTTTGATTAAAATAGGTCTAGGAAAGTCATAAGGTACTGCGAAATGTGTGTTGAAATTAACGATTTTGCTGAAATTCTTGCAAAAATGTGAAATAAACTCAACCAAAAGAACCTGACTTTCAGTGTCTTGCATTATTACTAACACTGGAGGAGAAAACTATTTTAAGCCATGCAGTAGTCTCATAATTTACTAACATAACAAAGAAAAGCATATATGTTGGAGAAAAAAAAAAGTGAGTTGAAAATTAAAAAAGCTCATCAGTAAATATTACTGGAAGAGCATGAGATGCAAAATGTGTTGCTGTAACTACAAAATGAAGGTTTAATCTTCTCAGACCTCCATTAAGAAAGCTAATTACCTGATCGATCCATCTTGGGGGTGTTTTCAAATCAGAGGTATATCTTGGTAAACCACTCAGAAAACAGTAAGCAAAGCTTAAAATGCTTTAATAAAGAGCCATTTATTTTTGTCTATTGAAAGCAAATATTTGTTTCATGATAGCTCATAATTTTATATTGGTATTTTTTAGGGAAGTAGGATTTGTATCTTGAGAAATATGAATTAATTTATCACACATGCTACCTCAGAATACATTGGAATATAACTATGGCATTGAATGTATCCATGGGGAGATTCTTTCATATAAATTGCTTGACTTGAATCTATGTTATAACCATATTGTCATTACTCTTTATACCCATTCTTGAAGATTTTATAATCTGTACTAAAATTTTGATACCAGTTATTTTTAAGAGTATTCATACTGCAGAAGAGATTAGAATAATATTTGCAAAGCATTATGACTTTTTAAAGAAGAGTACTGTTTTATGCATAATAAAGACCTTGCTTTTTTTGTTCAGTTAAAACTCTTGATCTCTAAATGATCGAGATAAGTCCATATGTCTAATATTACGGGGCTGTAAAAATGAAAACAAGAAGTTAAATTCTCCTGCTGGATACAGTGTGTACTGAGGATGCCAAATATTGGGGATTGCAGTTGGCTTTGGTTTCCTCTTACACATGGAAGTAATAAGACTTCAATAAAGTGTGTCCAGTTGGATTAGATGGTTAGTTTCCATATTGTTATTCCATCCTTGCTGTGGGGTCTCTTATCGTAGAAGTAAGGTGAATAAAAGTACATAAGTGATTTTGAAAATTAACTGTCCCAAACACTTCATGGTGGTGTACACTTCAAGGAAAAGAGTACGAATGGAAATAATGGCTTTCACCCGTGGACTGGATGAGAAAACTATATTGAACAGGGTTTTTTTTTGCATACGAGAGATTAAAAGTATTGTTTGGAGAGCATATTAACTAAGATTTCTTCTGTGTCAAAGAAGGAACATTTGAAAGGGCCACATTATTACATTACATAGTTATTTACTCTGATTTCTCAAGTACATAAACCAGAACAGGATGAAGTGGAGTAGTTAAAACGCTGTGATATGTAATCTCACTGGGTATTCTGAATTGAACAACAGATGATTGGATTCAGCACAGGTGAAGTTAATCCTTCGCATTGATTATATTCTGTATAAAAGCTTGCAGACCTTGTCATGCTCAGCAGTGAGGGCACTAAACTTCTGCTTAAGGCATATGGTTGGAGCACAGTTTGAGAAGCCTTGGAGAAGGGCCCACTGAGATGTCACTTCCAAAATAATGAGGCATTGGGTGTGGAAATCACCAGTACATTGATCATTTGTAATATGAAGGAACATAAATTCAGTATTTGTGTCCCTGTCCTTCCAGAGAGCTCAGTGTGTTTCCTAGAGTTACAGGTTTCAGTCTTCCAGAAGCTTGATATTAATCAGAGGATAGATCCCAGCAAATTCAATGGAATAACCTGTTTCTGAGGATTGAGTTACATGATGTTATTTCCAATTCTTCGGTTCGGTATCTAAAAATTGAATATAATAATATTTGTCTATTTGGATTGGTGGTGCTTTAGGTTTCCTCCTGCTGCTGCTAAATAGGGCCTAATCTCCAGTAAGTATTGTAATTTCCTGCTAGTGGCTAACATTAGGAGAAACTATTAGATAAGCTATTTTTGTCAGAAACATTTCAGGAAAAGGAGGAGAGGATACGTCTAGGAATATCTTTCAAAAACGTAAGAGCTTCACAGCAATCTAGTTCTAAAGCAAGTTACCATAGACAGAATGTGCCAAAACAAAACAAATCCTGAATTAACAAAATAATTCAGTGATTTCAGCAGGATGAACATTTAGAGTAAAATGGCCCGAAGGCTGATATTGGACAGGGACTGTCCTAACAACAACAACAAAACCCATCTTTCTAACAAAAAGCTTTCAGAATGTTTGAACTGAATAATTTTTCATATCATTACGTGTCTTTAGGATTTGAGATGCTGAGATATTCCAAACAGTCCCATTATTTTTGTTCTCTCATGAGCGGAAGTTAAGGTGGAATTTCCCAATGCGCTGTGACAGCCTGTGGCTTTTAATGGTACTTTGTGGAAACAATCACAAGACAGTACCCCAAAATATTTTTGAGACCAGGTCTGAGCTTCAGTTTATGCATCTCTGTCTGTACTTGGTGCAAAAGGAGCCAACCAATAACATGGTCTGTGGGATTTGTTTTGAAATTATGGTGAATTATTAAACTATTTAGCTTCATCACTTTCACTCTTTTAGCCCATCTAAGCAGGAATTACAAGATATAAAAGCCTGGCTTTGTATATCACATGAGTTTCTGTCACTAGGAGTGTGAAATAGGAAATGTGGGTAGAGAATATAGAGGAAAACTGGAATAAATACATGGAAGTAAATTCAAGTTTGGCATAAAGTGAATAGTAATTCCATAGAAAAAGAGCAGTGAACTGAAGGAAAAGAAAATCAAAACATATAGAATAATGAAAAAGAACAATGATATTTCAGAAGTAAGGAGCTGGGAGTAGTAAGGGAAGTATCATCAACATAAAGTTGCCAGCCAGGAACTTGAGTCAAAGGTGTATGTGAAAGGTGCATGAAGATGTTCCTTGTGTTTATAAGTTAGGAATATAGGCAGTTCAGGAACCTCCAGTTTATGGTGCAGCATGTAGTAGAAGCAAATTTGCTATGCAAGTCTGAAGTCTTACATTGTATTGAATGTCCCTAGCATATTTTGATAAGCAATGTAGAAAATAAAAGTAAATAGACAAAATGTCACAAAACCAAGTTTTCTCAAAGGAAATAAAATGGTATTCATAAAAAAAATGAATTTTGTATACTACAAAAAATGGTAGAAAAGATTTTCCTGCCTATGGCAGGAGGGTTGTAACTAGATGATCTTAAGGTCCTTTCCAGCCCTAACCTATGATTCTGTTTACCAGTGATACTGAAAAGTTCAGTAAAATCAGTATAAAAAAGGATCTTTCAGATTACAAATTTGACTTACTAATTATCAAACTAGCAGTTATACTTGTGTCGTAAAGAGCTTGGACACAGCAATAAACACTCAAACTTTTCTGTTTCCTTTTGTAAACAGAAGAACCAGTTTTGTGCCTGTACTTCCCTCTGTGTCATTGTCCAGACCTTTGCCCCTTCTTGCAACTGTGCTTGCAGAGTACCTGGGGCTTGGGAGCCTGGCTGTAGGGTGGCTGTGTTGGTCTGGCAAAGGTATTACTTTTCTGAACCTTTATCACTTCTAAAAAGAAAGCAAATTTGAACAAGGAATGATGGTTTATAGCGTGGTGCCTCTAATTTCTCCGCAGTAAATTTTTGAGGCAAAAATTGTTCTTGATGTTACACCAAAGGATGTTGTTATGGTTTGACTCACTAGGTGGAAGTATCTTAATTTTCATTTTGTCTCATGTTCTGATGACTATGACCCATATGGAAGTCTTGTTTTATAACTATAAAAAATGCAGCACAAGATGGATGGAATTTTAAGAAGTTTTGTGTGAAGTT